GACCTTAAAAAATGGTCATACATATTTTGTTAATGCATAAATTCTCTTCGTGATATATGAACTATATGGGCCTAATGTTTTTTGGGTCACAAGGATTTATCGACTTTAAAATGTGGGTCGCCAGAAAAAAAGTTTGGGAAACACTGGCCTACGGTTCTGCAGGGTTTCTCCACCTCACGTGACAGTGGATGAAGAAAGACTCTCTGCCCTGTCAGAGCACTCAAGATTTATGTCCAGAGGTCTTCTTCATTCAGGTCGGCCAAGAAGGGGCATCCCGCATCTACACAGACCATCAGTAACTGGATCATTCGGGCCTATCAGGTAGCATGGCGTGGGTACTCGCTCCCCAAAGTGTCGTAGTCGACGCAGTTTGAGTTCCTTTGAAAGGGAGCGTCTCTGAGAAGGGAATGTCCCTCCGCCACGCCTTCCTCTGCCGGGAGCGACTTCATTGGTTCATTGCAGAAGGCAACTCTGTTGTGTGCCGGCGTCTCTTTGTAGCTTCCATGTATGCCATCACGTTACGCCATGACACAGCACCAATCAGGATTGGATTAGTTTCATTCACACTTCAGAAGCGTTCCCCAAAGTGTTGTAGTTGACGCAGTGTCTCGTTCCCTTCTCATGGAAGGGGAAATTCGTGTAACATCACAATTTTCTAAAAAGAAACGACATCCTCCACTCTTTCAGGCAGATTGAGTAAATCGGTAAGTTATTCATGCTAACAGCTAGTGGAGCTTAACGCTAGCTTCATTACCTTCAAGAGTTTGCTCAGTTTTATCAGGATATTTCTTTGTGGTTCTCGATTTGCCTCGACAAATCAACACTCTTTGTGACCGCCGACTAAGTAGTATCCGAGTTTAACAGCCACATGTCCGAGTGAAACACATCTGGAACAAGAATAAACCCAAAGCGTTTGTTCTTTGTCTCAACAGGAATGAGAAATGAGTAGGGTTGGGTATCGTTCGAATTTGAACGATTCTGATTCCGATTCCGATTCCTTGTTTCGATTCCGGTTCCTAACGATTCTCGATTCCGATTCCGAAGAGGCAGGGTCAAAAAAAGTTTAGCTAACCTTGCTAACCAACGGTATTTCTGAAGGAAATAATCCTTTCTGAAGGAAATACTCCTTCTGTCACAAATACAGCATTTTGCCGAGATTTTGTTATTTTTAGAAAAGTGAAGCCACACTTTGGACCGCCGACGTAAGCTACTCATGTTCGACTCGCGCGGTTACGCCAACACTTCCGGTAGACGCTTCTTCTTTGGTGTTGTTCAGCGGTTTCTTCTTCCGCTCGGCGGACTGTGAATATTGAAACTAAGAATCGAAATTTTAACTTTTGAACGATTCCGGGAAAAATGAAAAGTTAGTCCCGATTCCAATCGATACTCGATTCTCGATACCCAACCCTAGAAATGAGAAATAAAATGTTATACTGAGCTTCAAATCACAACCACAATATACGACATAATAATCCACAGTATATTTTTGGGGCCAAGTCATGCAGCCCTACGATAAAAAAAAAAAAAAGATGGTTTATCTGTTTACTTGCAAGTGGCCAACACCGGTGAACCACAAACATGAAAATGTGTCACTTCAACTTCAAATCTCAGGTTGACTTTAAGATAATGTTTGGTGTGACAAAGAGTTTGGGAATCCCTGTGTAGGACTATAAAAGACACGGAGGAATCGAAAGTAAGTATTTCAGCGAGAATAAAAGTGTGTGTGTGAGCATGACTGTGGCCTTCTGGGTTCCCGTTCTCTGGCCTTTCTTCTGTCTCCTGTAATTGGTTTGATGTGCTCGGTGTCACTGCTATTGTTTAGATGTCTCTGTTGAATCGACTGCAACATTAATGCCAGTCCTGGACTCCTGCAGCGAGTAATGAAACATTCGGTCTTTCTAGACGGGTCGTGTCGCATCGCTTCAGTAACGTGTGTGTGTGTGTGTGTGTGTGTATCACATGCTGCGGGTCACAGTCATGCCCTGAGAAACCCATGGGACAGACAGAGGCCAGATGAGCAGAATCTTCCTATTACTATGAGAAACACTGAGACGCTGTGAACAAGAAGCTTCCTGAACACAACATAACACACACACACACACACAGAGAGAGAGAAAGAGAGTGAGTCACTGATTTAATTTCATATCTCAAATATCCCCCTCCATTCTAATCAACCACGAGCCGAACAAAACCGAATTAGGCTTTTTACTGCATGTTTAATCTCATGGAAAATAAATAATGAATTAAAATAAAAAGACACGGAGGCAGTAATTAGATGGTGAGAAACACTGAGGGATTATTGTCTGTATTATTAGTAAATGAAATGAGTCGGCACAGCGGCATCCTCTGACATGTGCCCGAGTCATTGCACTACAAAAACATCGAGACGTTCACCGTTTAAACTGGGGTTTCGCTTGGTTTCAGGATTATAGATTTGGTCTAATACAGCAGCAGAGCGTGAGGAGCTCTAAAGCTGGCAGGTTAGTTAGAAACGGGCTCGGTTCGCATGAAAAACTGCTAATGTGAAGCTGTCATACGCTACCGATTAGATCCGAGTTCAGATGCACTGGAACTGTGGCCCGGTTCACGTGGATGTAAAAGTAAGTAAGGCGAGTATTTTAGCTGATTACGACGTCGTCATTCCACTCCAGCACTCGGTATCGTGTAATAGTGTGATGTGGTTTATTGATAGACTGGAGAATAATCTTTGGGGATTTCTGTGACACTGACGATCATCAGAGCATGTTTATCTGTAGACACGACATTCAGAGTAAAACAGTTTCATCTGAGGGTCAGAAGTGTGTGTGTGGTCACTCCTCCCTTAAACAGGACATGTAGACGGCATCAGGGTAAACAAGCCAAACACACACGTTGCCCTACAAAGGCCAAATGCAGTAACTACGCAAACAAAGAAACAGAGAAAAAGGCCTTAAAATGTTTATACCAGCCAGTCAAACATTTAATGGGTAGATTAGTGGTAATGCATCTCCGAATCGGGACATAATTTAACCCAGATATTTTTTCACAAGACAGAAGATGTCATAAAGCCCATTACAAGTCTCAACTTTTTGACCAAATGTGTAGTTACTGCATTTCGCCGAATTCTTCAAGCTTAACTCTAATCTGGAACCAAGAACACACACATTTATTAATCAGTGACACCAGGAGCTCGATCACCAACACAATCATTACACACTATTCCCCGGAAAATCTAAAATTGCATTGACTACCGCGGGCCGCATCAGTATTACATTTACCGAAAGAGTGTAAAATTAGTTACGCAATAGTGACAAAAAAACGTCTTGGTTACTGATGACTACAGGTGACTTGATTTGACTTGATGTAACCCTCATTCCCTGAAGGAGATGTTACGTTGATTCTTGTGTATAGGGGTCTCACTTGCTAGCCTCAACCTCCTCAGAGTATTGAGAAAATGGGCCAATGAATATTGGTGAGATTTGCATGCCGAGTCACGGGTATATATAAGCTGGCCAGCAACTCTGGCTAACGAACGAACAGTGTATGATTATGATTCAGTCCAGACGTATTCAGTCAATCGCATTCAACATTACGTCAATAATGACGTATTGGGGTCCCTATGGAAAGGGCCACCATCACTGAACTGAGTTAAGAGTGCTGAAGATGCAGATGCTGGTAAGATACAGAGTGCCCTCATACAGTCGTACCCTACCCAGCGCCCCATGTATAACAATAATAGCCCTCCATACCATGGAGACATCGTCGCTTAAAGTTGTGTTCCCAGCCATGACCGCAGTTGTTAACGCTGGGAAAGTGTGCTTATTCCACTAGACAGCTACAGATATTATTCGAACTACGAGCGACATAGAGTTTATTCTGTGTATCATCTTTGATCTCCTTTAATTCCTTTTATAACTAATAACAAATAAACTTGAGCTCATGTTTCTCTCTTATTCAACACAAATGTGAGCACTTTATGCATGTTTTGGGCCTTAATTGCATCAAATAAGAGACTTGCATTTTGGAAAATACCGTAACGGTGTGTATAGAAAATGAGCGAATCGCAGACATTCCTATTCATGTTAGATTTCCCAGAAGAGAAAAACTGGAGATTTGCTCAGTAATTTGTACAAGTTCAGTGAGGAAAAACACAGACGGGATTAAAATTACAACGTGTGTCTGTGAAACGCAAATCAATCTCCAGGGAAAACTAGTGCTTCCAAAACTGGGCTGAGATTCAAAAGCAGGAGCGCTGGACGACAAACACCATCTAACCCATCACGCTTCCATCGCTTTGATTACCAGTATTACCTCGTGACCAACACAAAGCAGAAAACACACTGATGTGAGAGAAGAAACTGTGATGAGAGGTAGATCAGCTTAATAATGAGACAACCAGACAATGAGTCAACAGCCAGGTGAGACCAAACATACAGGCTAGTCCTCATGAATAAACAGTCAAAAACATAATTCTGTCATCATCTACTGTCCCTCGTGTTGTTCTAAAAACCTGGATGACTTTTTGATATTTTGATGAACATTGGGGACAAAACAACACAGACATTCAGTGAATGATCTTTCTCAGAAATGAACATCATACATGTTTGACCAATGATGACAAAACACTTGTTTCAGTTAAAGAGATTCCTGAGTCAATAAATAGTGATATAAAACAGACAAACAACAGTTTATATAAAACAGTTATAATACAGCACTCAGATCAATCAATCAACGCTGAGGAACAGAGCAGATCTAACACTAAACGAGTGAATAATTGCCAAACAATGAGAATGACCACAGAACGAGAGTCTGCGCATTCTGAACACAAGCATTTCATCATGTCAACCCCAGCGAGAGCGAGACAGAAGAGCGTTACCTGCGTCCGGGGTCAGAGGTCTTCAGACAGCCGTACAGTAAGATGAGAGGGGGACAGAGAGAGAGAGAGAGAGAGAGAGAGAGAGAGAGACCCACAGATCTGATTCCTCACTAAACAAAAGAATGGAAAACGGAATGAACCATACCTTGGCTGTTTAACGTCAGGTGCGCCAGACCTTGAAGGAAAAAACAGAAACAAAAGAAAAAAATGAAAAAAGAAGAAGGTCATAAAAAGGCACGGGAAGAAATCAAGCATTGTCACAAGGTTGGACTGCAGTTTGTGACAGACATCCCGGGGCACGCGTGGATGTCAAAGATCAACTCAAAGCAAAAAGGGAAAAGAAAGAAGAGAGAGAGGAAATAAAGTCTGAACCAAACAAACAAACGAACGAACGCACAAACGAGTGAACGCTTCTTGAGTGAGGTGGGGTTGGGAAAAAAAGCATTTCATTCAGTGCAACCCCCGAAGGCCATTGCTCGCTCAAATGCTTTTTTCCCCTCTGGTCTTATGGAAACACACACACACACACACAACTGTTTGGCAGAGTTCAAGAGCGTCTCGACTGCTCTCATCTGAAGCATTCATCTACAACCGCTCCGTTCCGACTCAATCACATCCTCATACGTGCTAAAACCACCAGCGGACCGACTCACGACTCCACCAGAGTCTTCTGACTGGACCACGCCGCTATCCTCACAGCTATTAACACTCCTCAGATTCGGCTGAACTAACAGATAAACATTAGATGAAAACAAAAAACAAAGCAAAAATATATATATACACCTGTACATATATGTATATATATATATAAAGCTAGTTCAAAATATTAATAAAAACGACGATTGCATATAAATGATACACTAGACTGGCCCAATGCAACCATCATTATAGTATAACCCTCATTATAGTTTTCTTCGAGACTCGACACCAGATTACTCAAGTAAACATATAAATGTGATTATGTGATGTTTTCTTGAGGATATCCATGTTGAAGTCCACTTCATTTACTATCACACATCAACAGCCAATCATACACCAGCGTTTCTCCACTCTTTTAAAGCAATGTTGTACTTATTTTCCGCCTCGACATCCATTCTGAAGTCGCGACCCACCTGATGATTCGTGTGAATCCAGCAAACTGGAGATGAAGTCTTCTGCAACACAAAAGGGTTTTTACATTCAACACCTGCAGAGACTCTAGAAACATCCGGTGTTCGGCACACTCACTGGGAAGTTACATCCAACAAACCGAGACAATATTTCACAGCTCTGTTCTACTCATCATACAGCATATGTCAAAAGTAACACACTACTGTCGTCCACAAACCCTCGACGCGCAGGCACACGGGCATGTGCTGAAACCCAGCGGGTCGAGGGAAGAGAAGGAGTGTTCACTTTTAGCAGAACGCTGTTAATGGACACGAGCACAAGAGAGGCTAAACACACAGAAATCACCTTTAAGGATTTTTAAACATTTTTCAAAAGACAAAATGCTCCCTTTTTTTGTTAAACACCGGTCATAATATGAAATACTGTGTGAATTTTGAAATAATTTCAAATCTACTTTACAGTTACATTGATACAATAGTTCTGTAGCGGCTTTGATACGCTTTACTCCACTGCATCACACACTTTACACCACTGCACCCCACGCTTTACTCCACTGCATCCCACACACTTTACTCCACTGCATCCCACACACTTTACTCCACTGCATCACACACTTTACACCACTGCATCCCACACTTTACACCACTGCATCCCACACTTTACTCCACTGCATCCCACATGGAGTAAAGTGTGGGATGCAGTGGTATATGCAGTGGGATGCAATGGGATGCACACTTTACACCACTGCACCCCACACTTTACTCCACTGCATCCCACGCTTTACTCCACTGCATCCCACGCTTTACACCACTGCACCCCACACTTTACTCCACTGCACCCCACACTTTACTCCACTGCATCCCACGCTTTACTCCACTACATTCCACACTTTACACCACTGCACCCACACTTTACTCCACTGCATCCCACGCTTTACTCCACTGCATCCCACGCTTTACACCACTGCACCCCACACTTTACTCCACTGCATCCCACGCTTTACTCCACTACATTCCACACTTTACACCACTGCACCCCACACTTTACTCCACTGCATCCCACGCTTTACTCCACTGCATCCCACGCTTTACACCACTGCACCCCACACTTTACTCCACTGCACCCCACACTTTACTCCACTGCATCCCACACTTTACTCCACTGCACCCGACACTTTACTCCACTGCATCCCACACTTTACTCCACTGCACCCCACACTTTACTCCACTGCATCCCACACTTTACTCCACTGCATCCCACGCTTTACTCCACTGCATCCCACGCTTTACACCACTGCACCCCACACTTTACACCACTGCACCCACACTTTACTCCACTGCATTCCATGCTTTACTCCCCTGCATCCCACACTTTACACCACTGCATCCCACACTTTACTCCACTGCACCCCACACTTTACTCCACTGCACCCCACACTTTACTCCACTGCATCCCACACTTTACTCCACTGCACCCCACACTTTACTCCACTGCATCCCACACTTTACACCACTGCATCCCACGCTTTACTCCACTGCATCCCACACTTTACTCCACTGCACCCCACACTTTACTCCACTGCATCCCACACTTTACTCCACTGCATCCCACACTTTACTCCACTGCACCCCACACTTTACTCCACTGCATCCCACACTTTACTCCACTGCACCCCACACTTTACTCCACTGCATCCCACACTTTACTCCACTGCATCCCACACTTTACTCCTCTGCATTCCACGCTTTACTCCCCTGCACCCCACACTTTACTCCACTGCATCCCACACTTTACTCCACTGCATCCCACACTTTACACCACTGCATCCCACGCTTTACTCCTCTGCATCCCACACTTTACTCCACTGCATCCCACACTTTACTCCACTGCATCCCACGCTTTACTCCACTGCATCCCACGCTTTACACCACTGCACCCCACACTTTACTCCACTGCATCCCACGCTTTACTCCACTGCATCCCACGCTTTACACCACTGCACCCCACACTTTACTCCACTGCACCCCACACTTTACTCCACTGCATCCCACACTTTACTCCACTGCACCCGACACTTTACTCCACTGCATCCCACACTTTACTCCACTGCACCCCACACTTTACTCCACTGCATCCCACACTTTACTCCACTGCATCCCACGCTTTACTCCACTGCATCCCACGCTTTACACCACTGCACCCCACACTTTACACCACTGCACCCCACACTTTACTCCACTGCATTCCATGCTTTACTCCCCTGCATCCCACACTTTACACCACTGCATCCCACACTTTACTCCACTGCACCCCACACTTTACTCCACTGCACCCCACACTTTACTCCACTGCATCCCACACTTTACTCCACTGCACCCCACACTTTACTCCACTGCATCCCACACTTTACACCACTGCATCCCACGCTTTACTCCACTGCATCCCACACTTTACTCCACTGCACCCCACACTTTACTCCACTGCATCCCACACTTTACTCCACTGCATCCCACACTTTACTCCACTGCACCCCACACTTTACTCCACTGCATCCCACACTTTACTCCACTGCACCCCACACTTTACTCCACTGCATCCCACACTTTACTCCACTGCATCCCACACTTTACTCCTCTGCATTCCACGCTTTACTCCCCTGCACCCCACACTTTACTCCACTGCATCCCACACTTTACTCCACTGCATCCCACACTTTACACCACTGCATCCCACGCTTTACTCCACTGCATCCCACACTTTACTCCACTGCACCCCACACTTTACTCCACTGCATCCCACACTTTACTCCACTGCATCCCACACTTTACTCCACTGCACCCCACACTTTACTCCACTGCATCCCACACTTTACTCCACTGCATCCCACACTTTACTCCACTGCACCCCACACTTTACTCCACTGCATCCCACACTTTACTCCTCTGCATTCCACGCTTTACTCCACTGCATTCCACGCTTTACTCCCCTGACAGTTTATAATATTTATAATACCACTAACAGTTGACCGTGGAATATTTAGTAGTGAGGAAATTTCATGAATGAACTTTATTGCACAGATGGCAACTGATAACGGTACTAGGCTTGAGATCACTGAGCTGCTGAGAGAGACCCATTCTTTCACATATATGTGTAGAAGCATCTGCATGGCTGGTGTTTGATTTATACAACTGTGGTCATGGAAGTGATTGGAACACCTGAATTCAAACAGTATTTCTCAATACTTTTGGCAATATAGTATATTTAGGGCCTTCAGAATTCATACATGTGGCACTCGTGCTCTTGTGTTCAAGGTATTGTGTTCGAGCTCCTGTGTGTGAGATAATGCGATGCATCTGTCCGAGTGTTCAGCTTTCTCTTCACCACGCTGACCTTCTCCACAATGACCTCCTTCTGCTCATCTGAATTATTTTGCATATATCTGTAATTGCTGCATTTTGGCTGCTCTGCTTTCCTCTTCAAACTCTCCTGCTTGTTTCCGGAGTAAACTCTTTCCATCAGCAGTTCTCAGGTCTGATCTGTAGGGATTGAGGACAGAAGCGGAAAAAAACAACCCCAAACGCAAATAATAACATGTAAATCATGTTTAGTTAGGATAGAAAACACAGGAAAGGTCAAATAATTTAAATACTGGTTAAATAAACGTCCCTGAGAAGTGATAGACGAAGGTTGAGAACCGCTGATTTACAGATCAACAGTGTTAAATGGATGAAGGCATATAATCTAATGTGCATTATAAGATTATGCTTGGGTTTTAAAAGCTACAAAAAAAGACTCACTTGTTGAAAAACAAGGTGAAATCTGTCAGCACTCTGACGGCATATGCAGAATATTTCACCCAGAGTTCCCTTTTGCCCCAAAAAGGAAGCAACAGAGAGAGAGAAAAGCACGGTGGCGATGACAGAATATGGAAATGCTGCGCAGCAGTTCTGCTTGTGCTGGCAGACGAATGAGAAAAGGAGCAGTAAAGCAGGCCTGAAAGTAGAACAGCCAAACAATTACCGTAAGTATGAATTATAAATTAGACTCACTTGGAGGACGGTGTCG